TTCTTTTGCCAAAGTATTTTTAATAATTCTTTTTTTAATAATTTAATTATTTTTAGTAATTTATATGATAAGTTATATTTAATATAGATAATTAGGTTCAATTTTATGATTTGTAATTTGTAATTGTGATTTTGTTTTTTTTAAGGTCAATTTTTTCAATTAAAATTATTTGATGTAATTTTATTTTATTTAACATTAATGCATATGCTTTAGCAGTTTTTCAAGAAAATTTCTAAAAAAGTTCATAAATATTTTTTAGTGAATATATTTCAAGTGTTGAAATTACTTTTTTAACATTCCTTTTTTCAAACTAGGTCTTTAATTTCAATTAAGTTTATTTTTGGATCATTAAAATTATCCAGACAAAATTCAGACAATGTCACACTTTACACCCTTACATATCAGAATTTATTTTTGCTTTTTATAATAATTGTTCATTAAAAATAATTCATTTATAATAGATAATAATAAGTGCATTATAAATAAGTGCATTAAAAATAAATGGCATTTGAGAATACTTTAACTAAAAATTGGTTCTTGAAATATCTTCATTTGAAATAATGCTCATTTAGCATTAGATTATTTAGTTATAATCTAAAGAAAAACAATTTTAACACAATAAAAAAGTACCTGGGGACATCCATGTATATAGTAATGGCAAAGGTTTGTAATTTAATAATAATAAGAAATATAAATTGTAAATTTGGATATAATTTTTTTGATAACTAGGTTAGGACTGATATATTAAAAGTAAGCTAAAGTGTTTTTTTCTTTTAAATAAATAATTAAACATAAATTTGTTCTATTTTTCTTTTTAATGATATTGAGAGTTTTTGTGCTTTGCGTAATTTCAGGTAACTAAATAAAAAAAGGTATAATTAAAATCTTTTTGGAAGGCATTAGCATTGTTTGGTACATTAAAGAAGTTTTCGTCAGATGTAATTGAGAGAGCAATAAGAAACTTCAAAGAAGTTCAAAAGCTAAATAGTATTTTAAAGAACAAAACTCTCGGCGAAGCTTTTACAGAAAAATAATTTGTAACCCAGATTGGATATTTTCCATCACTTGTTAAAAAAAAACATTAGGCAATGATAGAGATTTAGGAGAATCTCAAAGTGAAAATATAAGCTCGATACCTCAATAGAATTGCTTCACTGAGGTTTCACCTTCAGGCTTTTCATATTGAAAAGTCTTCCAAAAAGGCTGCAGCAAAACAGATGAGGATACTATAGACAGAATTGCGAAAGTTGTTTTGTTAGCATATAACATTGAGGGTGATCCATAAATTATGTCACCCTCTAGGTGGGGTAGGGGGTAGGGATGGGGTTATTGGTTTTGTAACAACTTAAACAGGACTTGTTACTACAGGCTTGGTCGGGAAGCGGGAGCGATCGCTCTCGATTGCTGACCACGTAAATAATATTTAGTTGCGAAAAGCTGGCCAGATTTTTAGTCGTTTTGAGAACATTTTAAAAAGCAAAAAAAAAAAAAGCGGCGAAGATTAATTGGACCGATGAGAGACAATTACAAAAAAAATAAAATTAAGCGATGTTTTTTATATAAAGTAACAACTTACGATTGTTTAAAAAGGAAACAAATATTCTTTATTAACAAAGTTTGCAAGTTTTAGTTTTATTTAAGCTAAACTATTTTATAAATAAAAAAGTTAAATTTTATAATACCTATTTTATGTTTCGCGTAGTTTGAAAAGTTTAACATATTTGAAGCGATTCTTCTTAGTAAGATAAACAAATGAAATAATTAAATCATTGACTTACTATAGGAATTAAATAATCAAGATAGAAATCAACTAAAAAGGTTAAAAATACTTAATGACCAGGAAGCGAAACTGCTTCACAATATCGCTGATGATGTTTAGTGAGTGGGCATTTTAATTTTAATTAGTATTTAAAGCAGAAAAAAGTATAACGAGTTTTAAGAATGGCAACTTAAGCGAAAATAATTAGAGTAAGTAAACCAATATCTAGAAACTTTTCTTTATATCTAATTATTTGCTATATATATTTGTGTTCTGTCGTGACCTCAGGCGCCATGCTTGTTCATCCGCAAGTTACTTTTTATGCGTTGTTTGTGTTTAGTAACCAGAAACTACTTATATGTTTGTTACATAAAGTTGATAACTTTAACGATTATAACTTCATTGAAAACGCAATTATTTTTGTAAGTCTTTGTTTAAATCATAAAAATTGCTTTAAAAGATACATTACGATAAAAAACAAATACACAAAATTACATTTACATAAAGAATACAATCTCTTTTAAAATAAAAGATAAGAATATACTAATAAAATCTATGATTTATAATAAACTTTTAAAACTTTAACAATTTAGTCAATATATATTTAAAACATTTATTTTCGTAAACAAAAAATATATATTCTTAAAACAATGCTAGAAATCTCAAAACGGAACAAATCGTGTATAATACAATTTCTAAAACTCTAGAACTTTATTTCGCTTAATCAGCGTATTTTTTGAACCAATAGAATTAGTTTGTTCGTTAATTTGGCGGGTTTTTAGTGTTCGCAAATATTCTTTGTATTCTTTCGCACAAAGATGTTTTGAGAACATTAAAGTTTTTTATGTTTCCATGTATGTCCGTAAAACAAAATTTTTTTGTTTCGTACATAAACTTAAATGTTCTCAAAACGACTAAAAAACCTGGCCAGTTTTACGCAACTAAATATAATTTCCGTGGTCAGTATTCGAGAGCGATCGCTCCCGCTTCCCGACCAAGCCTGTTACTAAAGTGTTTCAATGTTGTAATGAAATGTAAAAATTGTAATGAAATTGTAATGAAATTACAATTTCATTACAAAATTGTAATGAAAGAGGAAGGGGTCAAAAACTGTCAAAAATTGCATGACATAATTTATAGATAACCCCTAAACTACAGAAATAGAAAAAAGTGATTTCAATTAATAACATAAACAAAGATCTTCCATAAAATCAAAAATAGCTTCAACCATTATAAGGTTGTTAATATAATCAGGTTCTCGTCTTGCCTATGCTAGGATGTGGGTAACATATGTTAATTATGTTCAATAATCTGGTAGCACCAGTTCTTAAACTAGCCATATTTTATACAGATAGGCCTTCAGCATCTTTGAATCCTCTGGAGCAAGGTTTGAGATATCAAGCTGTTAGGATTGTTTTCGAGTTGGTATTGAAGGATCTTTTTTGATGTCAAACCACTTGGCATACACACTGAATGTTGTCCTATGACTGCCATGAACGTGGCTTTTCTGCATTCAGTAAATCACTCACAAATCCATGAATTCAACCTTCATACTATGTAACACATTTTTTGTTTATATGGTGGTTTTCTGATTACAAAATAAAAAATGTAAGATCTTATAATGGTTGTATAAAAAAATAATTATCATTTTGTATTGTGTAAATATGAGCAGACGCTGATGCCTAATTCTAATAGTGTTTATTATTCTTTTCTTCTTCTTATTAATTGTTATTATATATGGCATAATAGATTTGATTTATTTGATTAACCAATCAATTTGATTGACAATCAAGGCTATTGAGAGAAAAATAATACTTGCTTATTAAATACAAAATTTGATTTTGCACTTTTTTACTAGCATATGCTTGTAACGGTAATGTTAGAAGTACATAATGAGCATCGTTTATTGCGCCATAAAATGTTCTTTAAACAAATGTCAATAAAATTATTATGCAACAATTTAGTGCGTAATAATTTTGAAGTTTATACATATGAGTTTGTGCCAAATAAAAAAAATAAAAACAGTTATAACATTCAAAAAGAATGTTTTACTTTTTCAAATGTACTTTTAAAAATGTTTAATGTTATAAGCTTAATTTTAAATAGTAGCTTTAATATTTATTATTTAGTAAATCTTTTTCTTAGGGCTATGTCTTATAGGAAGACAGCATCTTAGGGCATGTGATGTCTTCCTATATAGGAAGACAGCATTGACTAAGGAAAAGATTTATTACAGAATATTATAAATTTTTTTTTATAATGGCCTTTTATAAGAAACTGATTTTTTATTTGAGAAACCAATCAATTAGTCTAATCTAACTAAAAACACATGCTTGACCATATTATCATTAACATTATAGTAATATTACAAGGCATTTCACAGCACGGATTTTATAGGAAAATTTTTGTCTGCATCTGTGTTTAAAAAGAAAAGAAAAAATTATTTTTTTTACTAATTCTATAACTTTGTTATGTAATATTTATATTCACATTAATAATATTAAAATTCTGCTTTATCAAAAACAAAATAATTGTTGCAGTGTAAAATAAGCCATTTGTATTGTTAAAATATAATCTGAAGCACTACAAAAAAATCATTGACTGTTGCACAAAATAAATAGTTAATCATATTTTGATAGCAAAAAAGTCAATCTGAAACTCAAACAAGAATTAACTTTTAACTTACATTCAATTTTATATATATATATATATATATATATATATATATATATATATATATATGTATATATATATTTGAGCAGGCGTGTCACAGTGGTAACGCACTTGCCTCAGAAACAAAGGATCCGTGGTTCAAACCCACCTCTAGGCAAGTTTTGCAACATTGCTTAGGAAGGAGGCATGTACTTCCAATTAAATGCTCATCCGCAGTGCTCTGTGATAAGTCTGTAAGGACTTCTTGGGGCATCTAAATAAAAATTTAAATATATATATATATATATATATATATATATATATATATATATATATATATATATATATATATATATATATATATATATATATATATATACATAGCAATCTTTTCTTTCATTATTTTCCTTTTTTTTTGAAAAATTAAAGTGCACATTTTTACATTAAGATTGATAATAGGAAATAAATAGATGACATTGCGTCCTTAGATAAAGATTGATTATAGTTTAGTATATATTTGTATAAATAAATGTAGTTATATCTTCTTTAACTTGTATGAATAATTTGATTATTTATTTTGTTCTTTTAGGTATCATTTAAGCGAGTGATCGGTTCTCCAAGCGGCTGTCAAGTTGCACTTTTTCTAACTGTTCTAGGAAGTTTATGCTTCCTTTTGTTTTGGCCTGTTGTTCTTATAATTGCTTATTACGAGTATGAAGTAATTGAGTTTTCCAAAATTCCATGGGGTTTTCTTATTGGTACATCATTGTTTGGTGTGGTGTTTAACTTTCTTATTAACTTTGGCATTTCTTTAACGTTTCCATTGTTTATATCAATTGGAGCTTTGCTGGGAATCCCTTTTAATGCTGTTGTAGATGCGCTCTTTAGAGGAAGTAAATTTGGAATCTATGAAATAGGAGCTTTTTTATTAATAATATTTGGGTTTATATTGATGTTGATTCCCAATAATATATTAGAAAAATATGAGAAGAAGCTTTTCTGTAAATATTCTTCATTACGTCAAAGAAGAAAAACAGATTCTTTGTCAATGCCAGATTAACTTTTTTGGGCCATGTGCTGTTTTTGTTTTTTTACTTCGCTTTTAAATTTAAAAAATAGTGCCCTTAAAAATAAATGGTATAAAAAAAATTTATTAACATCATAAATATATTTGTGAGCCTATGTTATTCTAGCAGATAATTTGTGCAAGTTTTTTGTTAAAATAAAAATATTTTAAAAATTTTTTGTTAAAATAAAAATATTTAAAAATAAAGTCATAAGCAGTCAAAAGCAAAATGAAAAATTTATAATTTATAAAGTAAAATAATTTTTTTAAATTTAGTTTTATATTTGTTGTTATGTTGCTATTATATAGCACTTGTAAATGTATATACATATATATAATATTGTTCAAAATAATATATTATTTCAATAAAAAAAAACTTAAAACTTTTAAAACATACTGTTATAATTCAATCTTGAATACTTTTTTTTTTTTTGAGAATAGAGATAACAAGCAAACATTTCTACAAATGGTTTAATTTAATAGAGAAAACAAGCAAACATTTTTACAAATTTTATTTATTTTTTAAATAAAATAAAAGTTCAAGCCTAAAATCTATATATCTATTCACTAAATGATTTCAATTTTATAATGAAAACTTTTTTCATTTGACTTTAATTCAGTTGTTTAATTTAATCAAAAAATTTTAACATTTCTAATTTTAATTTGTGTTTTAATTTGTTTAGTTTTTATTGGTTATTTTAACTTGAATTTAATGAACGTTTTATTGGACTTTATTGATTATTACATTGTTGAGTTAAGTGTTTAAGTAATTTTTATCAAATTATATATATATATATATATATATATATATATATATATATATATATATATATATATATATATATATATATATATATATATATATATATATATATATATATATTACTTGAATTAATTTCAATTTAAGTTACACAATTTTTTTTAAATTTTTATAATATTTTTACTATATTTAAAATGTAAATGTATTTTTTAACCTTTGTGTTTTCATATAAATGTTGTAAACATGTTATTGAAGAAGTTATAATAAATATTTTTGGATTTCTAGAGGTTCATGTTCACCATGAAGAACTTTTTTTTATGATTTTTGTTACTTTAATATCATTATGAACTTTTTTCATACTTTACTGTTAGGAAACTCTGCATTGTACCTTTTGAAAACATCAAAAGGTTTTCATAAATTATTATTATGACACCCTATGTCCCTTAAAAAGTTATTTCAGTAAAAGTTTTTTTTACCCCTAATTACCTCAGTGTTCTGTGACAAAAAATTGTGATTGCAGTAAAAGGTTTTTTTTATTAAAGGACATTTTTTCTATCATTTTAAATCTCAGAATCCTTTTATGATTCAGATCATATATAAAAAAATCACCTATGGTATAATTAAGTTTATAGTAAATAGAAGTAAATATAAATAAAAATCACCTATGGTATAATTAAGTTTATAGTAAATAGAAGTAAATATAAATAAAAATCACCTATGGTATAATTAAGTTTATAGTAAATAGAAGTAAATATAAATAAAAATCACCTATGGTATAATTAAGTTTATAGTAAATAGAAGTAAATATAAATTGTTCTGTCAAAATTTTCTGTAATTGAAATTTAATAAATATTGTTTTCACCTATGTATACATTTATGTTGAAAAATATGCATTTAAGTTTGTTCCTACTCAATTTGAAGTTATTTTTTTCAAGTGTTCATTTTATATTATTTGTGAAACACATGACTATGTTCACCATACATTGGTTGACAAGCAAACTAAATACTTAAATACTTTAATTAGCAATCTTATAAATTTTTTTTTATTTTATATAAAATTTTATTTATTTTATTTTATATAAAATTATTTGTTTGATGTATTTAAGTTTATACTAAAAAAGTGATATGCAATGGCTTCAAATGAAGGCTTATTAAGGTAAGTTTTTTTATGTTTTTTACTTTATGAGAAACAGTTTGATCAGTATGAGATTGAATGTTGTAAAGATGAGTTACTGAATTTTACAAAGATGAGATTGAATTCGGCAAAGATGAGTGACTGAATGTTGCAAAGATGAGTGACTGAATGTTGCAAAAATGAACTGCGTATTACAAAAACGAACAAATATATGTTACAAAGATGAATCAATATTCCAAAAATTAATGAATAAATTTTACAAAAGTAGTAGAATGAAAGAATGATTTTATTCTTGATAAAATTTTTTTTTAAGCAACTTTTTAAACAATTTGAAGGATTTGCATTCAGAAATTTCAAAACAGTTTGTTACAGAAAGAACTTCAGCACCAAATCTACAACATGAAATGCCTGAGTTTGTTATGCAAGTTCATACTTACTGGGATTTTATCAGAGCAGTAAGAAAATTTTTATTATTGCGTTAAACTATTTTTTGTTTAAAAAATGAGATTTTTATTCTAATCTATCTTAGCAGCCATTATGAACCTTTATTGGATTGGCATAAGTTTGGTTATCTTTTATTTTATTGTTTACTAATTATGGTAATTATTTAAATAATCTCATATTTAAAACGCCTTAGATTTTATATTTACATCCCTCTCTGTCATCATTTTTATTTATTATCAGCTTAGTAAAGCTCTTAATTATCAATATTATTTTAGTTTTCAGGCTCTTCTTTGTCATTGTATGATTTATTTATTCAGCTTTCTAATTCTCCTAATAGTGTGACAATTTTTAGGTTCTCTTTTCTAATTGTGAGGCATATATGCAGTTTTTAGCTTCTTATTTTTAACTCACTTTTCTACATAATCTGTTCCATATCATGTTAAGCTGTCATATTTATCCATTTGTAGTATTTTGTTATATTAATTTACTAAAACAGTATATAAAAGATTTTTTTAACCTTACTAAAGATTTAAATTAGTAGTTTATGATCTGAATGTATATTGTAAAACAAAAATCAAATTCAAAAAAAATAAAATAAGAGAGTAAATGTCTGTTATACATTTGTATATCACACACTTACTCTAATAATATACGTTTAACATAACAAATGATATACATTTAACATAAGTTTAATGTATATCAAGATATTTATCTAATATAGTTTTTTTTGTTTTTGTAATGTAAGTCAAATGGCATTTTTGATGTTGCAAGCGCTATATAAGTTAAATGTAGAACAAAATATATTCAATTAATTCTAATTATCCACTATGCTAATTTTTTTCAAAACAAAACTTTATTTTTTCCTGTATCATATTATGGTTCAAAAATACTACAGAAACATTTAATAATTAACTTTTACTTTTCAACATCATTTAATAATTAACTTTAATTTTGCTTTTTAAATAGGGAAAACTTGGGTAAAATAGGGTACTTAAGGAAAAAGCCCTTCTAGAGTAACAAAAATTGTAAAAATCAATACAAAATTACTTGAAAATAAAAGAATACAACATTGACAATCTGATAACAAAAAAAAACACCATAGAGTGTTAACTTTTTAATTTTTACCGAACTTTAAAAAATATATACACAATTACTCCTTTTTTTCTCCATGCTTGGGGCAAAATGGATGTTCAGATACAATAAAAGCTTTAGTTCAACCCTGTTTTACCCCAGTTTCCTCTAATTTTGGTTACCTAATATTCACATTTTTTATTAACACATTTTTTAATGACATGATTTTTTAATAGTGTTTGTGCCAACGTCCTTATTTTTAGCTACCATACAACACTATATGGATGGTTTGTTTAATGCTCTTTCATATTGCTTCTTTCTTGCTCATCATTTCGACTCAAAATTACTATAAAATCCAGTATGCGCTGTTTTTTTTTTTTTGTAAGTTATTTATTACCACTTTAATCCTATTTGCATAAACAATATATTTATACTAATGTTATTTTTATATTTTTATACTTAAATAAAAATTATTACACTTACAATAATATTAATATGCTTATATAAAATTAATAATTTTATAAAAACACTAAATTTTATTTATAAATAGTTTTAAAACAAAAAATTAAAAAACAATTAAAACATTAAACAAATACAAGTTTAATTAAATTTTGAGATTTCAATTTATAAAATTTTAATTTTGAGATTTTATTTTATGATAATTTAATTTTAATTTTGAATTTTTGTAGTGGTTTTGGTTTCACTTTCAGAAAAAATTAATGAAATAGCTGCTCAACATTGGAAGTAAGCAAAAGTGTTTTTTGTTTTCCATGCAACCTGTGTGTAATGCAGTTGCAAATAAATTGCAGGTATATTGCCTACTCAAAATTTGTATGTTTTTATTGAAAACAAAAAGGTCTAGATTGTCAGTCCCTTCTCTTTCCTTTGTTACTTTTCAAGTAAGCTTTTAGATAACTTTTAGATAACTTGTATTTTGTATCGATTTTTATTATTTGATAAATTCATGTTACTTGTCTTCTATATTTTCTTTTTGATGTTTAATTTTTATGGAAACCTGTGAAAGAATTCCCATTAGTCGTCACCAGATGATGATACAAAGGAGGACTACCTGTTAGGTGTAGTTCAAAGTCAGTCTTCAAAGGGTCAGGTATAGCATATTTACAATTTATTGGAGTATTATGATTGTAAAGATCAGGTGATAGGCATTTGTTTTGATACAACAAACAGCAACACAGGCAAAGATTATGTTGCTATACAAATTTTGTCAGATATTTTGAAGGTTTTTATACTGTGGAGTATGTGACAAAGACACATATGAAATGCATGTTTGTCATATGGCAGCACTAATGGGCGAGAGGTTGGTCCTATTTCTGATGATATTGCCAAAGAATCTTTGAATTTTTTCAAGTTACTTCCAAGTAATAACTATAGAACAGTTTGTGAACTTACTGCATTCTTTCTAGAAGCAGATATTCCAGACTTCAGATTCCACCAAGTAGGTGCATGTCACAAGACAAGATTTCTTGCAGATGCAATACAATGCCTTTACATGACCCAAGAAATCAATAACATGACTAAACAAGAAAAGCTTAAAATGAAGGAAGCTATCATTTTTGTTGCCATCTGTTATGTGCCTCGGTTCCTGAAAAACTCTTGGTGTATGGTAAATGATCAAACAACTTATTTAATAACTCTTTACTTAATAGTGCTAATGATGATTTAAACAACGTATTTAAGTCCTCACTTAATAGTGCTAGCTTTAGGGAGTGAATAAAATTACTGAACAAAAGAAAAGTTTCTAAAATGAAAAAATCTGTTTTTAATTCTGAAAGCACAGAACTAGCTGACTTAATGACAATAGGTATTTGATTTTGAAAGATTTTTTTAAGGATCTGTCAACTAACATTTATTTCCAGAATTTCATCAAAATACTCAGAAACTTTATAGTGGTCAACAAAAGAGTGTAATAAAACATAAAGGTAATCCAAGACATTATTAATGTGGCAAGAGATGAAGATCATCTTCAAATTGTGCTTTTTGTATCTTGGAAAAACTAAAAAATTCTTTCAATATCAATAACCAAAATAGAGTTGAATATTAAGGCCAATCATATTATAAATTTTTATAAACTTATAATATAATTGGCCTAAACTTATAATAAACTTAATAATAACCCAATAACTTCTATAAGCTAAATATGCTTATAAATGTAAATATACCTGAAAAGCAAAAGTCAAAATTCTCATCTTTATCTTTTAATCATCCCAGAAACTTAAAATTAATATTTTTCAGACCTATGGGCCATTCAGAATGTTATCAGTGTTATTATTATTTATTTTTTTAGTAGATTTTCCAGATATAATATATAAATATAAAAAAAAAAAACTTAATAGTATAAAAAAAACTTTTTTCCAAAATGTCAGCTGGCACCCCTTGAATTTGTTCTATATAACAATATAATACTGGATCTAAAACTTTTTTCAATAAAAATTATTTTTAAGGGTTGCCTTTGACCCTTAAACATTAAATTGGTCCATAATATCAAAAAAAAAAAAAAAACATTTGTTATGTTGGATCTCAAATGAAGCGAAAATATATAAAAATTTCAAAAGTATGAATCATTTTATAATTAAATTATTATTTTAGATATTAGTAAACAGAAAATGACGTTTTTTTAACTAAAAACAAAAATTAGGGAATTTAACAAAATTTTTTGATTATAATTTTTTTTATAGATGTTTTTTTATAAAATGATTCATATTTTTGAAATTTTTATATAATTTCGCTTCATTTGAGACCCAAGATAAAATACTTTTGAAAAACTTTTTTTATATAATATTAGTGACCGATTTAATAATTATGGTCCGTAGCAACTCCTAAAAATATTTTAATTGAAAAATTTTTTAAATCTAGTTTCATATTGTTATGTAGAATACATTCAAGAGGTGCCAGCAGGCATTTTCAAAAAAACTTGTTTTCAGAATCACTCTATTAGATATTGTATATCTATATATGTATTAGGTATTGTAGCTTTTGTATTTTTATATTATTAAAAATAAATTATATTTTCAAATTTTAGATTATTTTCACATGAAAATTTTTTTGACTCTGGTGGTTTATTTATATCTACTGTTTTTTCTCTTCCACTTCTAATCAATTGTCTACTGCTTATTGTAAGTTCTTTATTTACATATTTATGTTAAACTTATAATATAAGTCGGTAGTTGCAAACTGTGTAGCAATTGTCATTAAAACTGGATTGGATTTTTCATTTTTAATCTATCAGGCCAGGCACTGTTCTTCATAGAAAAGGTTATTAAATAAAAATAAAGTTTTTCTAATGTTATTAATGAAGTATGAGTTAAAGTCCCTCGTTGATAAAAAACTAATTAGTATGATTTATTTAGTCATACTAAATTAATACATTATTCACTTGTCGACAAAGTTTACCTACAAACATTGTCGGTAAGGTTGGAAATAAGGTATCAACTCAAATGCTTATTCTCATGTTGGTGTGCTCCTTTTAAGACTTTTAAGTCTCCTTAAAGTTATCTTTAAAAAAAAGAAATACCTTGCGTTATATAGTTTCATGATTTTTCATAATATATTTTTATAGTAATTCATTGCACAAGTTATTTCGATTATATGGAAATCAATGCAATTTAATTTTTTAATTTGTATCAAGTTTTAACAAAACAAAACTATTAATAAAAAAAACATTTGCATTAAGTTGAATACTTTACCACTATATTGTCTATTATTACTATAAATATATTATTCTTGATATATTTAACCAAAACCCAGAATTTATAATTAGGTCTAAGTTAATAAAGGGTGTTTTTTCTAAGCCCGATAGAACTTAAAATTGTAAAAAATAACACAAAAGCTTAAATTGTAATCAAGCATATTTTTTATTCGAAAGTTCAATACATGGTATTATCATTTGAAAATGATTTCGGACATATGGGAATCACGGCTTTTCTTGAAAAAGCGATTGGACGTCCAGATTTTGTTGACCTTTTCGAGTACTGTTGGCCGTATGTCACGAATAATACAAACAATGCTAACCTCCAAGGCGTCAATTGTTGCTAGTTTATTAGCATAAACCAGTGACATAGCCCCACAGGGAATAATCATGAGGTGTAAAATCGCACAACTTTGCAGGCCAGTTGATAGGTTTATTTCTCCAAATCATTTTATCGCCAAATTTTGATTTCAATAAATCTATGGTTACGGTTGCGAAATGGCATGTAGCGCCATCCTGTTGAAACCACATATCTTTCAAATCATAATCATCTTTATTTTCAAACAAAATATCATTGATCATAGTGTGGTAGCGAACTCCGATATTATTTTTGAGGAAATTAGATCCGATGATGCCACTTGCATGTAAACGGCAAGATTGAGAAATGCAGAAGTTATAGGCTTTAGTGCCAGCAGGTTAAGTGGCTTTTGAACCAAGCCATTCAGCGTGATGAACATTAAAGTCACCAATAACAACTATTTTGACGGTAAGGTAAAGAGAGGGCATGCTCAATTTGATCAGAAATTACATCTAAAGGAGTACAATCTTGGATGAAGGAAAGCGAATAAAATTTAAATAGAAATGTGAAGTGTGCTAGCAATGATGATGAGTGAAAAAGTGTTAAACGGTAGCACAAAAAAGCCACTCTTTATCCCTATACTATTTTGAAGTAAAATCTTGTTTTAAGCTTTATCTCTTCACTATTTAAAAGTAAAATCTTTTTTTAAGATTGAAAATAATATAATTAAAAACTTGGTTTAAATTTGACATTAACTCTAACTGAGAGAATACAAAAATTTTCATCAGTAAAATAGTGTATACTTTTTATATTTAATTACTTTTATATTTATTTATTTTCATTAGGTTATTTGGTTAAAGTTTTCGTTTAAAGCGCTTGTTTTAATCAAATCAAAAAAATTGTCAACCAATAGAAAACAAGATCCAACAAAAGACGACAATCGAGCGCAAGAATTGGAAAGTGAGACTAAAAAAAAGAAATAGATTGTGTTCGTCTTTGTTGTTCACATCAATTCATAACATATTTATACTCTCCGTCGAAGAAATCGACGATTCATTCAAATACATACAAAAAATTTTAAATCTAAAAAAAGCAAACTATATTTGTGTATTTTTTTCTATATGAACGGTTTTGCACGCGTTTTTATTTAGCGTATATTTATGTGTCTCTAATTAAACGCTAAATCGTGAGTCTTTATAATGAAGCGTTTATTCAAGTTTTTTTGTATCAACAATAAACAATTTTTTAAGTAGTTATTAGTAGATCTAACAGTCTTAAAGTACTTTATTTAAATTGGTTTACTAATTTCTTTATTTCTTTAAATATTTACATGTATACTTTATTTTTAGCTTATCAGGTCAAAATATCTTTTACTTGACTGAGAAAAACGGATGTAAATAAAACGTAATACCCAAAAGTACTGGATAACAAAAAACTTATTTAAATAAGTATGATGATTGGACTCACATTGTAGTTTATTCGATCTGCTGGACATCTATAGAAACTAGAAAAACGACTACAATATCCCGTGCGACTACTGCAGTATTATGTTTCCGAGTTGAAAATTAATTGCCTCGTTTGTTTTTTATCATACACGTCATATATACTTTTTTGATAACACCCCCGCACACGCCATATATACTCAAGGGAACATTAAATTATATATAAACTATAGGCTAAATATTTTCATACATAGAATACATATCTTAAAGAATGTACTTTAAACTTGTATTCTATATATCAACTGTAGTTGATGAGTTTGTTTTAACAGTACTATTTTCAACATAGTACAACAATCTATGTTATAAATATTGTCATCTAAGTGCTTTTATACATTTTTTTAGTGTTACTATCTTACAAATAATAATGGCCTATTTGTTTTTAAGGCGAGTTTCCACTCCTCCGTTTTTTCACGGGAAAGGGACAGGAAAAATATTCACGTGGGCATGCGTAGTATAAGTTTTAATATATCCGAAGTAAAACTACGCATGCTTGTGTGATTATTTTTCCCGTTCCCGTGAAAAAACGGATGAGTGGAAACTCACCTTTATATGTAGACCAGTTGTATATATATTTTAGGTTTGCCTCTTGCGATAATTCTTTGTCTTAATTTTTCTTAAAAGAATATTAGTGTTTACATTTTAATGGTAGGGTATTTTACTTGGGTCCTTTTGATTTTGAGGATATAACTCCGACGGGAGTTTTTATAAGATGGTATTAAAAATATTCAATATACAAGAGGATACATCTCAAAAGAGGTGTCAATCCTTCTCAAATAAGAAGGTGAAGAGATACACCTCAAAAGGTTAACCTTTTAGAATAACGGTTTCTGGATGATTGGTATTTAAACTACATAACTAAATTGCTTACTCAACACTGCTGTATTTTTACGGGTATCTATTAGTGTATCGGGCATTTAATTTGTCTTTTTCATTAATTTTCATTTTTACAACATTTTATTTAACTTTATGCTGTCCATTAATTACCTTTCAGAGCCCCTTTACCCACGCCGAACACACCAAAAAATATCGTCAACATTCATTAACCCCCTTCCCTTCCTCCTATCCCGTCCAAAAAAAATCAAATTAAAATGTATATATATATATATATAATGTGTATATATATATATATATATATATATATATATATATATATATATATATATATATATATTATATATATATATATATATAATGTGCTTAGATGAATCTTTTTTGTTTCAACAGCAGACTGAGATAACAACAACTTTGAAAAAATAAAGTGTTACGAGTAAACATCTCGTGTGTAGTTATTTAGTTCTCTAAGTGTCTAGTCTGTACAGCACAACACGGTTTTCTCAAAGTAGGAATATAAATGGCTTTATTAAAATACTGAAGGTTGAGTAAGTATGTAATACAAGACTGCAAACGCTGCATAATTTTCCTTTTCTTCAAATAATTAAATTGATTAAAAAAAATATAACTTTTTTAAAAAGTAGTGTTGACGTCAACTTTTTTTGACCTCCCCCTTGTCAGCAGTTGTCAAAAACGCTCTTGACCTCCCCATCCCTATTTTGTCGACGTAATTATTATTTATTTTTTTGTTCTTTTCTTAAACATTTTAGTAAATCGTTTTACAATAAAATCGTTAACTTTTAAATAACAAAACTATACAATAAGAACTAAGTAAAAGATAATATAGTTATGCAGATACTTAATTTAATAAAAAGAACGCGGAAACTCGCAGAAGACCGTCAGATCTTGTCATCAAGAACCGCTCATATTTTGCAATCTCAATAAATCATAATCGAATATAGTTGTATATCTCTATAAAAATTTTATTGCATCTTATATTACAAGAAATTTTATCGTTTAAAAATATATTATTTTTTAAAATATATTATCTTTTAAAATAATATATTTTAAAAGTTTAAAAATATATTATTATTTAAAAATATAATATTTTATTACGGTTTTTATAACACGGTTTTGTAAAAATTAAAAAAAAAAAAAAAAAAAAAAAAAGAAATTAAAAAAAATAAAATAAAATCAATAAATTATGTATAAATGCGTATGTGTATCTGTGTATGTATGTATTTATGTATGTATATTGGTATATATATGGGTGTATGGGTGTATATGTGCTGTTAGTATGGGTGTGTGTGTGCTTGCAGTCTATGTATATTCAAAAAAAAAAAAAAAAAGAATAGTGCTCCATAACCTCTGGAGTAGGAACAGCCAACTAAAACTGCTTGGCAATCGTTGGGCTGGATTAGGATTCGGTGATACCACCTATGATCGCTTGTATGGTAAAGATGCAAACACATTATATACTTAAAAAAAAAAACTATATTAGAACAAAAGCTAATTATCAACAAGAATGTCCACCCCACTCTGATTTTATTTTCTACAATTTTAATGCAAAAAATGTTCAATTCATTTATTATTTTTTTTTAATCTATTCGATTTATATTAACATCACTAACACACTATGACGTCATCAAACACATCGATAATTATACTGAAGTATATTATTTTTAACTATTCTAAGCTAATAAACATTTATTATCCAGAGTCAAAATTATTTCTTTAAGTTTATTTTTAAATGAGAGGTAACTCCATTCCAGAGAAAAATCCAAATGTTTTAAAACTATTTTATTGCAAAGAAAAGCTCCGCGAAATGCAATGTTTGTTTTTCCAAAATTAGTTTGATTAAAAGGTTGCCGAACTAAATTGTCTTTTTAAGGTACACTGTTAAAAAGTTCGCCGTTGAATCTACGGAGATTGTCCGGCAGCAAAGTAACAGCACTTTCTCCGTAAAAATTACCGGTATCCGTAGCATCTGATTTCCGAAAAAATCAACGGAAAAAGTCCGTTAAAAAGGTTACAGAACTTTCTCCCTAAAATTTACGGTTTCCGTATTTCTTTTTTTACATGCAAATTAACGGAAAAACTCCGTTAATTCAGCAAATAGACATTTACTTAAAGCTAAAGTCAAAAATAAATGAATATAATTTATATGTTGTTATAAAAATGTAATTCGACTATTAAGAAACTACTCGTATTATAATATGATACACATCAAGTAATAACAGCTATAATAATTATAAACAAAATATATTATATTATAGTGGTTATTATATATATTGTATTTTATATACTATATAATATTTATGATAACAAATAATATTTTATTATGACAAATTATACTATATTATAAAAGTTGTTATATGTATTATGTTATAATAGTTATAATAAACATAAACAAAACGTCTTTTGATCTATTGAAGCTGTCCACTCAAGCGCTAGTTTGTTTACGAAACTCGAAACTTTTGGGTGAGGTCCGACTGCTTTTTTACCAGTTTTTCTCTTCAATTTAATTTCATTTTTCAGGATTCATTTTAGCGATGCATCTAAAGAATAACAATTAGATCAGATTAATAAATCATTAGCTACAGTAGAAAAAAAAAAAAGAAAAGAAAATAATGTTGAAAATTTTTATGTAGAGCGAGCATGTAGAGCATGCCGTTGCAGATAACCAGGATGCAGTGATATAGAAGAAAGTATAGGTCAGAGGTAGATTAAGTTAAAGGATACATTACAGGTAATATGAAAAAGCTATGGATTTTTATAAATTTTTTATACACAAGTATGAAAGTATATTATCACAAATGACTCTTACCATTGTACTTACGTGTTTTTCGTGGCAAAAGAGGAGCATACTTGTGAAGTAAATCCATGAGTTCAGCCAGCAGCTTTGAACTTTGAACTTTGAAAACATCTATCTATTCGTCTAGCATATCAATGGAAGTTTCAGATCCAGGTACATTTAAAATTTAAGGTTGGGTTGAAACCGAAACCAAGGCATGAACCTAAGAAAAACTTCCAATAGTAGTATTTCAATTTAAAAGTTGCAATAAAAATTAATCAATGTATATAAATACAAATAAATAATTTAATAATAATTTAACAATTATTAACATCAAAATTTCTATTCTACAGACAACTTTGTCAAAAACCACAATTTTAACTAATTTTAATATAGATCTTTTTCAGACTGCACTACAAAAAACTAAATAAAAAAATACATTTAACATACTATTTTATTTAATATAATATTCTTTCCATGCGTTTATCCTCCATGTGGTTTATCCTCCTCCGAAAAACTGCCTAATATAGAGGCTACATACCTAGGCCCACAAAAACCAGTTCAGCTCATTTAATAGCATCATAACCCCTTTGCAGACCAAAGGTAAGTGATTTTTAAAAGAATGAAGGATGTTAAAGAGAAAGTTAGAAAAAGTCCAGTTAGAAGGTTAACATAGAGACAGAGGACAGTATTACACTAGGTGTTAGAATGTGCAATTTATGTTCACTTGATAGGAAGCCATGTTATGGATAAAGTTTTACATAATTTACATTTTATTATATATACATATATATATATATATATATATATATATATATATATATATATATATATATATATATATATATATATATATATATATATATATATATATATATATATATATATATATAATTGATTTTTTGACGAGATTGAATAAAAAATAACTACATAATTTTTACTATTAAAAGTTTCATGCGTTTAGCAATCATCA